TGCTAACGTGGAGCTAACATTGATGAATTTGCTTTACTTTTTCGACTGGGGATTGCCTGATGGGATGAAAGTGGGAGAACTTGATATGGAAGAAGCTGGTAATATCTCCATTTGCAAGAAAATACCTCTTCAACTTGTGCCTCGTCGACGCTACTGATGTGGAGTCCAAAAAGCTTGATACCATGGAAAGTTTTTTTTTCCTTTTTTTTGTACAAATAATAAGAATACCATGGAAAGTTCATGATACGGACTCGTAAGACTTTTTACATATGGTTACCTATGTAAGAATTGATGTTTGAGCAATAATTTATCAAGAAATAATAAAGTTTGTTGCATTTGATATTAAAAAGTTTGGACATTGACAATTCGATACCCAAATTTCTTTCCAGAAATTAAAATATTGCTGAATTATGTTATATAATAAGTTAAATAATGTCATCATCACGTCCTTAATATTTCTCCTAATCCATATTTTTATCTTCAAAGCATGTCTTTTTTCCCTCTTTTTGTTTTGTTTTGTTTTGCGGAACTGTGATAGTATAATTAGATCCGTGCGCACACACGAATTTTACTTTTGCTTAAACAAATTGTATATGTATTTTATATTATTTAGTTTTATATAGTTTTTAATTGGTCCATATTTATTTTATGTGACTAAACAACAAAATTAAAACTATATTTTGTATTAATAGTTTTTCATAAGTATATTATAGCTATATGCGGTGAAAACATTAAATTGATTATCCACATCCAAACCCGCAAAGATTTGAAATGAACCCGAACGAAAAGTTATAAATATTCAAACCTCAAAATTTTGAAATATAAATAGACTCGAACCAAATTCGAATGGCTCCTGAATTCCTACTCATAGTTTAGAATTTGTCGTAGAATGAATATGGACAATAAAAATGTACAGTTTGTCAATTTCATAGTATTGAAATAATATTTGTTAATAGTATTGATAGTATCGATAGAATTATTAATAGATGTAGGGTTTTTTTACATCAATAGATGTAGATTAACGATTGTCTGCATACAATTGACATAAATTAAGAATATATAATATAGTTTGTTTTATAATGGGAGTATAGTACATATTTATAGATTAATATATTGATTGAATGATATAATGAATACATAGAAATATTCAAATTAGAAATATTAGATGAGATATGGAAGAAAATAATTATGATTATTAGTAAAAGATTATTTAAGAAAATATTTTATCAAATGTTGAATTAAAAATTAAGATAATTTAAATAATAGTAGATTTAACTTTAAAATTTACCTAAAAGAAATTGTAATGTTTCTGTTCTAATAATATAGACCCCTAAATTCGAATACATGAAACTATTGATAGTCTCAATTTAATGGGTTGTGTTTCCTATTGAATTGATAGTCTCAATTTAATGGGATGTGTTTCTTGTCCCATATAATATTTAGTGAGAACTGACAAACACAGTACAAAATTAAAATAGTTGGTGTTAAGGAACCCCACAAATCGCAATACAATTAATGAGCAAACACAATTACTAGTGGAGCAAATGAATTTACTAGAGAAAATGGGTACCACAGAAGATGTATAATTCATCTATGGATTAGAGAACTACAGTTTAGTTTAGTTTGTCAAATGATAATTATGGTTTAGTTGAGATGTCTATTTCCATATGTAAAGTCGGCAGGGTCGACAAATAGAAATATGTTAAGTAGGCTACCAGTCAGTAATCAGGCCTATATGACCAAACTTGATTAGTTCAGTATACATGATGTGGCTGAGCCCAAAAAGTTGTCGAAATAAGTGGTCAAAAGAAGGATGTTATCACCTTTCCATTTTGTTATTTATTTTATATACGTTAACTAAAATTAGGATATAATTTGTGGTTTTAGGTTCTTAAGAATTTTTTCTATGGATAACAGATTTCTAATGCTGAGGCTTTAAGGAAGTTTCTTTTCGTTTTTGCGATGGTAAAAAATGCTGATAAAATTAAGCGTTCTCATTATATATATTGAACATTCGTTATACCGAATTAATAAAAAAAAGAGAATTTCACACGAAATCTATAGTTCAAGTTTTTTATTCGTCTAGTGTTATACCATTAAGTCATATTAAAGGAAATATATATTTGAGTGAATTTGAACTATATAAATCATATATTTCACAATAAAGCTAAACAAACTTTCAGTTTAGTTTGATAACAAAACTTTAAAACTTGAATGAACCACAATCAAACCAAACCGAATCCTTGTTCTATTTGGCTACATACGGCATAAGTTAGATTAAATCTGTTAAAATGTTAGCTAACTATAGAAACCAAACTTGATTGGTTCAATATATTTGATTAAATCTGTTAAATTGTTAGCTGGCTCCGAGTTCCTCAAAAAGTTCGACGACGAGGTCGATATAAAGTCTCAGCGGCTGTGAAATACATGACGGACTGTTTTTTCTGTTAATAATGTCATATACAATAATTAAAGTAGAGTAAAATATTAATAAGGACATCCATTTCAGATAGTCATTTGGGAATAAATGATTGTGGAATTATATTAAAAACTTAGCTCACGTATAGTTATAAGTTAGTCAAAAAATAGTTATAACCTAATTAGGTCGTTCTGTTGGATACAACTAAAAGCATTTACCATGAGTTTAATAAAAAGGTAGAAAATGAATTTTATGTGTGAAAATGATACTAATGAACCTCAAAAGTAGGAAATAACTAAAAGTGTGAGAAAGCTAAAAGTGTTTTATACTGTAAGTTTTTTCTTATTTTAATGTCCCGGACAAAAAAATTTCTGTAGATCCATCCTTGCTCTAGGCTAACCTAATTAGATTGAAGTGTGCAAACTGCAAAGTATTTGGCATCTAGATAAACTGGAGTTTTGGTGTGGCCATGTAAGCTCATTGTGATGATATTGGAAGGGGTACGTGTACCCACATCTTTTTTGAGAAATGGTGTAAATATCAAGTTCTTGTATCATCTTTCGATCCTAACTTTGTGCTTGTGTACTAGTCAAAGGAACACTCATGGTAAAACCTTTTCTCGTTATTTATTTTTAATTTTTAATGAATAGAAAGTTTTTTTTTTTTGCTTTTACTTTTTTCACAAACTTCTTTTGGTACTTAAATATTTTTGGTTATGAAGGATATGCTTCTAGGGGGAATAGATACATGCGCGATAACTATGATGTGGGCGATGAGAGAATTACGCCAGATATTTCTCTCATGCCATATGGCATAAACTATTATTTGCAAAGCATAGCGAGCAGGGCATGAGATGTTTTGGTCTTATATACCATCCGACAACACCTGAAGGATTTGAGTCCACTTGCTTGAGTAACGCCCTGAAGAAGCTTAAATACACATGCCCTTTAATCTCTATAATCAATCAGAATCAACCTTATTAGGGCCAAAACCTACAAAATTGTGGCCCATGTACTTTTCTTATAACTAAGAAAGCAACCATAGAGAATGTACTGGCAAGGTTGTGAAATATGGACACCATCAAAAGCCAAATTGATGTAGCGTAACATCGAGAGTATGGGCTTTCATCTTCGACGCGCCTTGCGTGTCAAGACACGTTCCTTTTAAGAATAGGACTTCTTATATTTGAATGGATAATCACTAATGCTCTATAGATTAGGACTATAGATTATGTAGAATCTTCTTTTCTTCCTTTTCCTTTTAAATAGCTAGCATGCATCGTTGTATTCTTTAGACATTTGATAATAAACCTAGAGCTTTTGCTTATTCCTTGTGTGATTCAATTAAATTCATCTCTCAAGAAGTTGGTCTCAAAGAAGTTATCGCAAGAAACTCTTTGATCGATCCAAGAACATGTTTCTAGAACTCTAAAAGTTCTTTGATGGACCGTTCACCCTATCGTACGCTGCGCCACAAATCCTCCTCGATCTCTTCTTAAAACATACATGAAACCTAACCAGTACATGCTAAATTCATTTTGAATCGAACCAGCTCTCAAGCAAAAATGGATTTTAGGTTTTCCTTGTAATCAAATCTACATTAATTACCATCCTAATGAAATTTACCTTCTTAGCAAACAAAAATGAAGGATATCTTCAAAATGAAGTTTTATTTGCCTCCAGCCCATTTTCTTAGTATAGTTCACTGAAGATATCTTCAAAAATATGTATATATGAAGTTAAATTGTATGTTTTTTGAAAAAAAAAATGTATGTTTTTTCAAAAAAAAAACAAGGTTATTTAAAGTTAAAAGTTATGGGTTATCATTTTTGATTAATTAAAACAATTCGAATCGATTAAAAAGCTAAGAAAATGGATATGTATGAACATCGAACATAGTATCGTGTGATTTTAGACAAACTGTATATTTAATCATGTGTAGTACAAATGTACAATAATCAAGATGCGGAGACTAAGTTAAAGTCATTAACTAGTATTTGTTGCTAAATGGAGACCATATCATGTATCCACGAGGATCTCGACAACAGGAATCCGTCTTTAGGTTATTTTTTAAGTCATTGACATTGAGTTATGAAAACGATTCATGATGTACGTTTTTAAAAAAATTAACCTAGAATATTCCTGACTTCTGAAAGGATCCAGATTAACTCCAGAAAAAAGGCAGCCTTGGGCTCTAGACGAGATGTAAGTTGAAATGGTAACTTTATATTAATCATATCTCTTACTCTCTCTCTATTTTATAAGTGTCACTCTACAACTGTGCACATAGATTAAGAAAACAATTAATTTTATATATTTCCTATATAAAAACACAGTTACACATACACCTAACCATATTTTAACCAATAAAAAAATAAATTACCTAATAAAATTAATAAATTTTGCATTGAAAACCGAAAACGACACTTATTTTGTAACGCAAAAAATTCTATACAACGACACTTAATATAAAACGGAGAGAGTAATTTCTTCTGGCAGTAAATACGTTGTAAATCGTGAATAACAATTATATTAATTAATTACGTCAACATGCTTATTAATTTGTCTATATATTGATATTTTCTAAACTTGTTTCTACACTCGACAAAATACCTAAAAAAGACAGACAGGATGTCAATATTCCTTTGTTTCTTCTGCTTCTTGCCCATTTTCATAGTTTCCTCTTTCATCTTCTCAAAAAAACTACAAGCCTCAAAATGGAAACTTCCTCCGAGTCCATCGTGTTTACCAGTCATAGGAAACTTGCATCATCTCAGTGGCTTGCCACATAGGTGCATCCACAAGCTCTGCCTCAAATACGGATCAGTGATGCTTCTCCATCTCGGGTCTTTTCCAGTGGTAGTGGTCTCCTCCAGCGAAGCAGCTGAAGAAGTGTTCAAAACAAATGACGTGGAATGCTCCTCTCGATCGAAGATGGTCGGGACCGAGAAACTCTCTTACGGTTTTAAGGACATCACTTTTGGACAATACGGTGAGTACTGGAGAGAGATGAGAAAAGTCGCGGTCATCGAGCTTTTTAGCCTTAAGAAGGTGCAATCATTTAGGTATATAAGAGAGGAAGAGATCAAACTAATGGTGAAGAAACTCTCGGAGTCATCGGCTTTGACACAATCTCCTGTGGATCTAAGCAAAACGTTTTTCTCTCTTACCGCAAGCATTGTTTGTAGAGTAGCCTTGGGACAAAACTTCCATGATTGTGAGTTCATTGATCAGGAGAAGATAAAAGAAATGGTTACTGAAGCAGCGGATGCTCTAGGGGAATTCACTTTCACTGACTTGTTCCCCGGTGGATTTGGAAGATCCGTAGATTGGTTGTTTAGTAAACACAAGAGGTTAAACAAAGTCTTTAAGCAGCTTGATGCTCTTTATCAGCATGTGATTGATGATCACTTAAAAGAATCTTCTGAACGTAAAAGTTCGGTTCCTCCAACGGATATTGTCGCCGTGATGCTGGATATTATTTACAAGCAAGGAAAGGATGATTATTTCAAGCTCAATATCGATAACGTCAAGGCCGTGCTTATGGTATATCTTTATAACTTTTTTTGGTGTGGCTCTGATTGTTTAAATTGGCAGACCTAAATATATTTTAGTTTTAGGAAAGAAAACGTAAAACTATAGTACACAACTAGGTACTATATAAGTATATAGATGGTATATCTCTATAACTATTTTTTTTTGTCCAAAAAAAAATAGTACACAACTAGGTACTATATAAGTATATAGATGGTATATCTCTAACTATTTTTTTTGTCCAAAAAAAAAATAGTACACAACTAGGTACTATATAAGTATATAGATAATATTTTATTTGTAATATATGGCAGCCTAGCACCAACTAGGTACACAAGTACACGTATGAAACGTTGGCCTTTACCGCCAAAATATGCCGTTTGATAGCAGCGTTTTAAAACACTAATTAACACTGAAACGCAACCTAATTTTTTTTTCAACTTTTTTAATAGAGTAACGATGTGACTAATCCCGGATCTTCTGTCCCCGTGTAGATAACCACGATAAAACAATTTATCTTTTTGGATTAAGGTATAGATGTGACTAGTCTAGTCCACGATCTTCTGTCTCCTAAGTAAATCAACAGGATAATTCACGTTAATTATTTTCACGCTTCTCTTTCATTTCTCCTTTTTTCTGTTTAAAAAAAACATTTTCAAATGCATGACTTTGTGTGTTGTTCAGGATGTGTTTCTCGCAGGGATAGATACAAGCGCCATAACGTTGATCTGGACGATGACTGAACTCGCTAGAAACCCTAGAGTGATGAAAAAAGTACAAGAAGAGATCCGAACAACACTTGGGACCGAAAAGAAGATAATTACTGAAGAAGACCTCAACAAAGTTGACTACTTACAGCTCATAATCAAAGAAACATTCAGATTACACCCACCAGTTCCACTCATTGTTAGACAAACAATATCTCACGTCAAAATCCAAGGCTATGATATTCCTCCAAAGACAACAGTTCAAATCAACGTATTTACCATTGGACGTGACCCAAAGCGTTGGACCGACCCTGAAGATTTCATTCCTGAACGGTTTGCCAATAGTTCTGTAGACTTCAGAGGACAAAACTACAATCTATTACCGTTTGGATCTGGTCGAAGGATATGTCCAGCGATTCCAATGTCTATTGCTGGTATAGAATTGGCATTGTTGAATTTTCTTTACTTTTTTGATTGGAGATTGCCTGATGGGATGAAAATTGGAGATCTTGATATGGAAGAAGCTGGTACTCTCTCGGTAGTCAAGAAACTACCTCTTATGCTTGTACCGGTTCCACGACAATGATGAAATCATTTCAAAAGCTTTTAACTTGCTTGTCTTTTCTTTATGTGTGTAATGCAATAATAATGTAATATTGTTTCGATAAACATTTGTGGATATCCAGTTAAAAAATAGTATAGATTGTCTCAATCAATAATTGAATTCTTAAGCACTCTCCCCTCTTAAGTATCTTAAATTATTGTAGTTTTATATTTGATTACCTACAACTATTTTTTTTTTAAAAAACTAATAATTTTTATTGTTGTTTATTTTATTTATTCTCCGTATATAAAATGTAAACCTTTTGAAATCGTGTTTCAAAAAAAATAGTAAACCTTTTGAAATCATATAAATACGATTTAAAAAAGAAAAGTTAATATTTTGAAATCATGTAAACGTTTTAATAATCCAGCTAATTTATTCACGTATTTGGGCTTGAGGCTCATTAGCCTAATCTTATGTATCAATTTAACTACGACAAGTAAGAGTGATTTTTTGGTCAAAAATAATCTATACTATTATTTAAGAAGTAAATTTGCTTAGTTGTCATGTTCTCCTTGATTATAGGTAATTTGCTTATTTATCATATTTATAATATTATATATAATTTATCTATAAATAAAACGAATTTATATGAATATATCATATTTTAGAAAATAAGATAATTCTTGTGAATTATGTTGTTATCTAGAAATATATTTATATATATAAAACTTAAAAAGATAATTCTTATATATTATGTTGTTTTGTTGAAAATATATTTTTCTATTATAAAATTTAAAATTAAGATATAAAAATTATCTTATTAATAATTAAATTTATATTTTCGAAAATAAGTTAATTCTTATGTATTATTATCTTGAAAATATATTTTTCTATTATAAAATTTAAAATTAACATGTAAAAAATCTATACTATTATTTAAGAATTGAATTTGATGTTTGCTAATTTGTCATATTTTCCATGATTTTAAGTAATTTTGATAATTTATCATAATTTATATATAATTTATTATATATTTAAAACAAATTTATATTAATAGTATCAGATTCTTAGAAAATAAGATATTTATTATGTATTAAGTTGTTGTCTTGAAAATATATTTTTTTATTATAAATTTAAAATTAAGATATAAAAAGTTGTAGTTATTCTTATGTATTATGTTTTTATCTTGAAAATATACTTTTATATTATATAATTTAAAAGTAAAATAGAAACATTATCTATTATTAATAAAATATAAATTA